GGTATCATTTGTTAAAATTCATCTTCGGCTGGTATCCTATGTTAAAATCCACCTTCGGCTGGTATCCTTTGTTAAAATCCATCTTCGGATGGTATCCTTTGTGAAGATTCATCTTCGGCTGGTACATTTGTCAGGAGTCCCATTCGTTTGGTGTCTTTTCTCAGTAAGTTCACCTTTGATTGGTGTTCCTTCGTCAGAGCCTTCTTCGGCCAGTCTCTTTCTTGGGTATGTCTAACCTTGACCTGACATCCAAGAGATTTACTCAGCTGACTACTGAGACCCGAAAAATCAAGAAAATAATAATAATAAAAAAAAAATAGAAAATGAAGAAATATAATAGTACCTGACTGGCTTCAGAGCGCAAATTTCTGGGTTCTTTTAAGTATTTAATCTTCTTTTACCTTGAAAGTTCGAAAGGCTGGAGCCAATCTCACCTTCAGGTCTAAGACGATTAAATAGGGGAAGCTGTTGCACCCTAAAATTTTCCCTCCTAATTTCTTATATTTGGCTTAGGCTTAGCATTGCATTCATATCTTTTCATTAGGTCGTTAACATACATTTGAATTCAATAAAGCGCTTGAGGTTCGAAGTTCAGTGGTTGTGCGATACTAGGGTTACAACTGAGTTGAGGTGTATGGGTTGAACAAGTCTGATTATTCAGGGTCTTCTTGGTGTACAAGACTTTGGAATTAGGGTTTTGATCATGCTCATTTTTTTTGGACTTCTGCTCCATCCAGTTTTATCAGTTCTAGAGTTTAGGGTTTATTTCCCTACGTCAGGCCAAAGAATCAGGATTTCTATTTGTTAAATAAAGGTTTAGTAATTGAAGATCCTGGGAATAAAGTTTCACGCTCATCTTGATCATACTCTTTCACTATTTTCTATGTTCATCTCTGGTATTTCAAGGTCATCAATCAGGGAAGGACTTTATCAAGAATTATGGATTGAATCGTGAAATATGAGTCGTAATACAAAATGCGAGGTTATGAATTCTTTAGGATCAAGATCTTATTGTCTATTCAAATTACTTATCATACAAGTTGATTTGGATTCAAGATTGAAGTTTGGATTTAAGAGTTGAATTTGAGTCAAATTCGCTATTATGAATTATCCATCGCAATGACTACTTAGCGCCATGAGTTCATAATCTACAATTATGGATTGCTTGGAGTTACAAAAGCAGGGTTCATCATGATTCAAGGCTCAAGGAGTTCAATGTATTCAGGAACTTCGATTCTGAATATCACAAGCTCATTCAATTTCAAATATCAAGTCTAGCATGCACCACTCAGGTTCTACAAATGTTCATCATTTACAAACCATACATCCAATTTACAGAAATTAATTCAAAATTGTTAAGATTGGAAATTGGATTCATTTCATGAGGAATTCTATCAAAATTGTTGATTGTGGAAAAAAAATATGTCATCAAATGTTTGACGGTAATGAGTATGTAAAAAAAACCCAATACTTTGATGAAGCTACTGACAGCAGTGTGGTTATGCTTCTTGGTTTTGGAGAGGCTGTTGCCAGAAGCAAGAGGTCACCTGAAAAATTATTTGTTTTTTCTCGACATGTATAAGATGATGAAAATGAACAATCTGATCAACCATACAAAGAAAATACTCTACAGATTATTGTTCTGCATGCAACAAATCGTGTTGCATTTTATGTATCAAGGCAAAGAGTTAAAAGCGGAGGTTGGATCCTAGATTCCATGCCAGATGTGTCAAAAAGGAATCCTAATGCACAGTTCCTTATCATCTTCAGAAATAAGGACACAATTGGCTTGCGATCTCTTGCTGCCGGTGGAAAGTTGTTACAGATCAATAGAAGAATGAAGTTTGTATTTGTTAGTCATAGTTTTGATGTGTGGGCGAACTGGACATTGGAAAGTTCCATGGATGAATGGAGACTGGTGAACTGTAGAAACCCATCAGCTGTTTTTGGATCATGTATACATTGAGGTATTGACAACTTCAGATGAAGATGGAACTGTCCACCCTCTAACCAGCTATGCTATCCGTTACGTGATATGACTACCAAGCAACTCTGAAGCAACTTTTTCAAGAATTTGATCCTGGCAATCCAGAAGTTCAGTTAGCTTCTGTTACAACAAGGATTTGCAATACTGATAAAAAAAACAGTCACTCAACCATTCCAGACTTACCCTGGTTTAATTGAAGTGTAACAATACATCAACTGTCCAAAGATACTGCAGCCCTGCACAATTTCTATCTGCATCAGGTTCAAACATTAAGCCAGAAATCTACATTCAAATTGATTAATATTCAAATTGTGAAAACATACCCAATGATGCGTATTGATGCTCTGTTTCAACAAAAGTTACCCTGCACATAAAGCAACATATACCTGTTCAATGTTATAACCAAGCAGGTTCTCCAAAAAGAGTAAATATCATATTAGTATGAGATTGTGATCAATGATAAAGAACAATGCTATAGAGGATGATTTCATGAATGACAAAATTCATTCAAGTGAACAAGGAGTACCTGTCTTTCTTAATTTTGACATAACCATAACAGAATTTTTATTAACTACCAACTCAAAATCTCCTAACAATTTCTAGCAGCACTTCCTAATTCCTAATAGAACTAACAGTAGCATTCTCCTAACAATTAATGTTATTACTTTGTATTAACAATTTTACCACCTATCCAAGTTACTAGCGGTTTTAAAACTAACAGGTTCTATTTCTAACCCTAACTAATTTTTCCAGTTAATATTTCAATAGCTAATTTTCCAGTTTTACTAACATATCTCATTCCTTTTTTGCTGCAACTGACTTTTCCTATCAAAGCCAAATGACTAACTAAGTTTTCTAATAGTAAATACCATAATATCCCATTTAATTGTAACAAAGAAGATAACAGAAAAACAAATTGACTAATAACAAATTAACTGTAACAAAAAACAGAATTTTCGAAAAAAAACTGTAACTAAACTTCTGACTAACCAATTGTCAGCTCAACTATCAATTCACAACAAATACTGACTAAATCCGTTTCCAATTAATTCTTCATAATAGAAAGGCCCAAAAATCAAAGGCTAACTGACTAACTAACAAAATCCCAACTGCTTTAACTAAAACAGAATTGCTAACAGCTTGCAACTAACTCTAACAACCTCTAACCAACTTCTTAACCAAATCTGTAACAGAAATGCTAACTAATTTTGCTAATTTCTAACAAGCTATATAAACAGTCTCATACCAGATTATTTGGGATCCTGGAATTTGTTGAACGATGACTAGAAAAATCTCAGAGCTTCAAACTTTCTTCAATCCTCCATCAACCTTCATCAACTTCTAAACCAAGCTCTTCATTACGCTTCCTCAATCTTCTTTCATCTTCATCTCTTCAAGCTCATTTCAATTCATCATCACCACCTTCTTCTTCCACCTCTGCACCATCATCCTTCAACTCCTGCAACCGCTTTAATCTTCCCAAACCTTCATCATCATCGCAAGCAACAACATCACGATTCTCTTCATCTCAGAACGCATCATCCACTTCGCTGCTTCATTCATCTCACTACAATCAACTTGTAAACAAAAATTGCAACCGGTTCACACGCAACAAGAATCAGAAACAAGGAGGAAGGATAGGGATCGAAACACTCACCTAAGTTTGTTTTTCTACATCCCTCGTTGTTATCGGCACCGGACCATCTTCGGTAAGTAATATTCAATGACTTACTCCCTTTAACAAATATTACATGTTGTTGTCCGACAAATCGTGACGTTAAGATGACGGAGCGGCGGCGATTGGCTTTTCGTGTAAGAGAAGACGAAGAAGGTCAACAATCTCACCCAATTTTAACCCTAGATTCCTCTTTCTTTTTTTATTTTAATAATAAAAAAAGTTGAATTAACAAAAAAGTGGATCGGTGTCGTTGGGTCCATTTAATGGACCAAAGTTCTTATCCCAAGCCCATGATTCGTTTTTGGAGTCCAAAAATTAACAAAAACTGGACCGGCCTTACTGAACTGGGCCGAATTGTAACCATTCTGAGCCCACACCCCCTACTTACACAGTATACCCCTTTTTTTAGTTTGTTTTTATAGAACTTCTTGCATCCCTTTTATATTATGGCATAATTCTTGTGAATAAAAGTGTAAAAAAAGAAAAATCTTAGAGTTAGGTGATGTCTTTTAGGAATTAATCAAGAGATTTATTTCCCCTTTTATTAACTTTTTAGTCAATTTATCATTAGTTTTATTCGTTTTATATCATGTGTTTTGCTTGCAATATTCGAGTATGGATCGTGTGCTATATTTTAAGACTTGCTACCAATTTTGCTTGTTTGTATAGTCTTTTAGGATCCCTTAGGATATTTTGGTTCAAATTTGATCTTCGATTTAATTGAACAAAAATTGAATATTAGGCTCCTAAATCCAAGCATGAAAACACTAGGTAGAATTCCCTCGAAATTCCAATTTTAGGTCCAAGGATGCATGATAAAATTAGGTGTAGAAATAGGCTAGTCTTCCTTCGACTTTTCTATCCCATTTTTGCATTTGCACTAAAGCTAAAAGAAATCTTTTCCTTACAAACTTCAAAAATACTAAAAAAAATTTACTGACGAGAATCGTGCCTTTGTTGAACATGGGAGATGATAAGCGGGTCTCTTCTAGATCTTATCGTTTTTCCATTCTAAGTCTTGGTATGGTTCAAGTCTCAAAGACTTATTTCATGAATAATTAGAGAAATGGCTAAAATCTCTCTCTTTAGATTAACTAGTTGTTATTTACAAGCAAAAACACCAACAAACACAAAACTCTTTTTGTCTTTGGGCGTTTCTTTCAAACTCTTTCTCAAAAGAACAAGTTAATTCACTTCTGTGTTGACGCGTAAGTCTCCAAAGGTCGAGTTGCGGCAGAAGGCGAAATTAATGTTGTTCATTAAAAACACAAACAAATTTAAACCTTTTTGTGCGCCCAAGCACCTTTTCTTTCAAAACTTTTTCAAAAGAGCATGTTAATTCACTTTTGTGCTGACGCGTACGTCTCCAAAGGTCGAGTTGCGGCAGAAGGCAAAATTAATATTGTTCATTAAAAAAAATACGAACCAACAAAAACATATCACCCGAACTACGGCTGCTCTGATTCCTTGAAAGGGATACATAGGCATCGAGGTAGGTCCCGAGTGAGCACAACTTTTATTTTCCCTACATTCTTTTCTCTTCTCTTTTCCATGCATTCTCCCTTTAGTATAGTAAACAGTAAGCATAGATTAAACACACCCATAAGATGGATAACAAGAGTGGATACCGTAGAGTACTACAGGCGTGTGGGGTGCTAATACCTTCCCCTCGCGTAACAGACTCCCTTACCCTATCTCTCGGTCGCAAGACCGTGACTTCTCCTTTCTCAAGTTTTTTCGATGTTTACCTTTCCCTTCCTGTGGGATAAAAGACGTTCGATGGCGACTTCATTGTTTGATGACTTTCAGCTGGTTGTTTCAAACAGAACTAGTTAAAATTCCAAAACAGACCCGCAGCCTGCAGTAACAAAAATCAGACAAAATATTTTTAACTGCATAATTGAGGAAAAAATAAACAATTTAACAAATTGGAGCCTTGTTTTTGTAATTAGCTGCAACAGTTTTACTAAGTGTTGTTGAAGGCTCTAATAAAGGTTCTACTAATGCTAATACTGATCGAGTTTTATTCAATGGAATAGTTCCTATACTAAATTGCTTCAGTGCTATCTGGACTAGCTTCTGTCCCATGTTAATGGGCTTCTCAAGTTAAGAAACACTCATCATACTTAATGACTGTAGAAAATGTCAATTATCGAAAGTCATGCCAGCGGTGTTTGGAAGTCACTCTGGCGGCGTTTGGAAGGGACTTGTCATTGTCTTAGCCTTACTCGTTACAGCATTGCCACATTCCATTTTGGAGGAAAACCGTCTTCGTCATATTTCCTTGTGGCTCGTCCACCGGTGGTTATTAGCATACTAGAAATAATTAAACAGAAGAAACATCAGGAAAAAGAGATAAAAAAGGATATCATAAAACTGTGAGATAAGCAATTGAAATAACATGAACTGGGTATTTAATTCATTTCAGAATAGCCAGGAGAAAAAACTTCATGAGAGGTTTTATTCTTCACATGAAAAACTCATAAAAAGGTAGGAGAAACTCACCAGAAAATCAGAGAAAGAATCTTCAAGAGAAATTCTCTCATTTCTCTCCCTCAAAAACTACAGTCTTGCATCAATGAAGAGAACAAAAAATTAATTCAGAAACTGTATCAAAACAACATTATTCCAATAATATAAACCAATTGCATACCAGTTGTTCAGTTCCAATTCAGAAATCCAGTCCCTGCCTAAAACCCTCACAGCTTCTTGTTTAGCTTCAACATAAATCAGAAAATACAAAAGGAGTATATTATAAAATCAGGAAATGCTTCAGACTAGATGAAATTAGATTCACAACAAAGTTAGTTCAGAATATCAAAAAAAAGGAAAATATCAAGGAAAATACATGAGAAAATCGTGAACACAATTATACATCTCAATAGCTTCTAACGGAATTCATGACATCTATTAACCAATTTAATCTCTCCCGTCTATTCTTCTAACTAATTCTCCTAATCAATGGCTCAGATTTAAACAGCCCTAACAAACGATTTCCAGGATAACATAATATATAAACAGAAAATCTTACCAGAGGGAGCTCATTCTTCTACCGTAGAAGAATCATAAAAAATACCAGAAAACACTCTCTACCTCCTCTCTCTTATCTCTCTCCATAATTGTTCTGCATCTTCAACCTTCCGTGATTGGTTATCTTCATACACCTTTAATCCTCATCAACAACCACGTCACCCTCTTCTGCTTCACCAAATTTGCTTCTCATTAAACGCGTTGAAATCGCAACGACATCAACAATGATCAACATCTCTACATCCTCTGCAATCTTCATGTAGCTTCATCATCACCATTCTTCAACCTTCAGAAAAAATAACAAAAATCTTCAATCTTCATCTCCTTCAAACTTCCCTGCATCCATCAACTGCATCACTCTGTTGATCCATCTTCAATGTTTGTTGATCTACGTCGACTGTAACGGAAACACGGTGAGAACATATTAGCGAGCAAAATCACACAAGAAACTCATAGAAGCGGGGAAGAAGAGAGAAGTGAGTGTGTATATGAATATCTCTGGATTTCTAATCGGATTTCTTGCTTCAAAAAGCTACCGGAGTATCTCCAATCAAACAACGGTGGAAGATCGTCGGAAGACAAAATCGCGATGAAACCTTCACGGTGAAGAGATTGCAGCGAAGCGAAATCGTTGAAAATAAGGCAGAGATGTGAACGGGCAAATCCAAACGGAGATGAATGGCGGTGTGGAGAGGTCGTGAGCGGCATTCGAGAGATGAAGAAATATGTGTTTTGTGTGAATTTGAACAACCACAATCCTTAACCTTATCTTCATTCATTGCGCTTTTATTTTTATTATCTGAATTTCTTTTTTGCTAATAATAAGAGTAATATTAGTAAAAAAATATGATAGTAATTTTTGTTGGTATGATGGGCTGACTGAATCACTCTCCTGGCCTGCTACAATTCCTTTTTTTAAACCAATTGCCTTCGACAAAAAAAAACACCATGGATCATCTTTGGGCTGGGCCTTAGTGAAATTTCTAAACATAACCCCTATACAGATTTCATACTCCATTTGCTTTTGATTTAAATTTTCTTTATGTAGCATGTTTCTCGCCATGATTTTGATTAATTTTCAACATGATTAAAATGATACAAAAAATAGTAAAACATTTTAGATTTTTTTTAGATTTTCTATTTAGAATTTTATTATAATTTTCTATTATTGTTTATGTTTAATAATCATTTTTGTTGTCATTTTTGTTGTCATTTTTTAGTCAAGATTTTGTGATAGAATGTAGATGTAGCTTCCGTGATATAGAGTGCATGAAGATTAATTTGTTTGATCACTTGTGTGAAGCAGCTTCTGTAGAGTTTTCTTATCGCTTTCATGGTTTTGAAGAGGCAACAGACCTTCTCTATTAGGTATTATCATGGCTTCATTTTTATTCCTTATTTCCGCACTTTATCGTATCTCTTTACCGCTTTATAGAGATCTTGTATAGTAGGGGTATTTATCGCTTTCTAGAGATCATAAGAAGTAGGAAGAAGAAAATAAAGAGCGTACGCTCGAAGTATCTGTTTGAAGTCCTGTAGCAGGAACAACTTTCTATATGCTATTTGCGTTTGTTTAAAATCCTACCTTCTAAGTAGGTATTCTGCACGTGTATTTTCATTTGCGCCTGCATTGCTTTACAGATGATGAGTCCTCAAAAGGAAGCAAGCAGGGAGGGTCCGTAATTGACCCTCGCACATTCTAATCTATGTCATCCTTAGCTCAGGTTATACATCGATTCTTCGAAGTCGTGTAGATCTTGTGTATCGAGTCTGTCGAGTGGGGAAGTGTTTTGCAATTAAACCCCCATGCTTTATCAGGAGTTCGCATTGGTCGATGCTGATACTCCGTGATTATTCATATTGTCTTCTGTCGCATACCTCGATCTTCTATATCTTGGTTAGGTGTTTAGTCACTTTGGACATAACATTTTTGTTTTTCATCTGTCTCACGCTTGATTTCTTCGGGTGATACGTTCCCCTTAGCTAAAGCATTTCTCTTGTTTCCCGCATCCCTTTGAGTCAGTATGTGCTAATCATGTTTGTATGATTTTTCCAAAGCACTTGTTTGCTTATTAGTTTGCTATACCATGCTTCCCTTAGGATCGCTCGACTAGAGTAGTCTCCAAGCTAGACGTTAGGATAGGTATCCATGCATGCTAACTTAGGGTAGAGATTTCCATTTTATCCTCCATCTTAGGATCAACCATTGTATGATAACATTAGGGATAGATTTAGGTTAGTCTCCCTATGTTTTTTATTCTTTTGCATCCTTGCATTTAAGACTAAAAATCTTTTTCTTGAAAAAAGCATAAAACATCTAACAACTTCTGAATCCTTATTTAAGGTAAAAGATATCAACCAATACAAACTCTTTTGCACCTTCGGGCTTTTATTTTAACTTTTCAAAAAAACATATTAATTCACTTCTGTGCTGACGCGTAAGTTTCCAAAGGTCGAGTTGCGATAAAAGGCAAAATTAATATTGTTCATTAAACAATACAAACCAACAAAAACATCTGAAGCCAAACTACGGCTACTCTGATTCCTTAAAAGGGATGCGTAGGCATTGGGGTAGGACCCAAATGAGCACAACTTTAATTTCCCTACATTATTTTCTCTTTTATTTTGCATGCATTCCCTGCACAAATTAGATATAGATTCTTACGCACTCTTTGATTAGAACAACATGAGTGGATACCGTAGAGTACTACGGGCATTTGGGGTGCTAATACCTTCCCTTCGCGTAATCGACTTCCTTACCCGATCTCTATGGTTGCAAGACCTTGATTTCACCCTTCTCAGGTTTACTCGATGTTTACCTTTCCCTTCCTGTAGGATAAAAAATCTTCGATGGCGACTTCATTGATTTCATTATCAGTTGATTGTTTAACCGGTTATTTCAACACTTTATCAAGAACAATCTTATATGTCGGTATGGTGTGCCAAGCAGGATTATCATTGACAATGGCTCAAATATGAATAACAAGATGATGACAGAACTTTGTGAAGAATTCAAGATTGTCCTTCACAATTCATCTCCTTACAGGCCAAAGATGAATGGGGTTGTTGAAGCTGCTAATAAAAATGTCAAGAAGATCATCCAGAAGATGGTTGTTACCTATAAAGATTGGCATGAAATGCTCCCTTTTTCTTTGCATGGGTATCTTACATTCGTTCGCACTTCAACATGGGAAACCTCGTTCTCTCTTGTGTATGGTATGGAAGCAGTGCTCCCCGTTAAGGTTGAGATTCCCTCTCTACGTGTGATAATGGAACCAAATTGTCAAAGGCTGAATGGGTCCAGAACATGTTTCACCAATTGAACTTTATTGAAGAAAAGAGAATAATGGCATTGTGTCATGCTTAGTTATACCAGAAGAGAATGAAGAAAGCTTTTGATAAGAAGGTCAAGCCTCGTGAATTCAGAGAAGGCAACCTCGTGCTCAGAAAAATCATGTCTTTTAACACTGATTCTAGGGGCAAGTGGACTCACAATTTGAAAGGCCCATATATTGTCAAGAAAACCTTCTCTGGTGGTACATTAATTCTTGAAACTATGGATGGCGAGGAGTTCCCACATCCTATGAATGCTAACGCAGTCAAGAAATACTTTTCCTAAAGAAATAAAAGAATAACTCGCTAAGTCGAAAACCTGAAAGGGCGGCTTAGGAAAAAAAGAGCGTCTCGGTAAGCTAAAAACTCGAAAGGGCGGTCTAGGCAAAAATAAGAGACACAAACAGAATAAATCTTCATGCTAGGTTGAAATCCTGCGAGGGCAACCTAGGCAAAAGTTAGGGATTTCTTGGAAAGTAACTACGTCAGACAAGACTTGATCATTGAAGCAACAAACATCTTGGATCCTCACCACACTTCAATGGAAGTCGCTGCTCGGGAATTCAAAGTTGTTAGGGAGAATAGTGGTCATTATATTTCGATGTATCTTTTCCAATATATTACCATTTTCCAAATTTTGTAATCATTTAAGGGGTCTCGGCATTCGCAGACGACCATTCGATTAATAAAGTTTGAGCTTTTAGTCAATTCTTTGTAAATCTTATTTTATTCTGCTTGCAAAGATTCCATTTATTATTGATAGTAATTTTCAAAACAAAGAGATTTAACAATAAAATTTTTGAAAAATTTACAAATCATTCTTTACTTTAGAATTTGTGAATCAAGAAAAATAAAAATATTGACTCTGAGGATGGACAGACTCTTAAATTTTGGAAATGTCTATTCCCTAAGAAGGTTCTCCAATGTCACTCTTATAGATATACGCATAATATTCTTGTGCTTCTCAAATAGTTGGGCTTGATACCAATTGATGTATGGTGTGGTATTGGGTTTGTAATCCCACTTTCCCCAATCAGGTCTTAGTTCAATTATTTTTCTCCAAGTTGATTATTTTGATTTTGGGTTAGCATGATCTGAAGCCTCTATCCCAGATCCCCTAGTAAGGTCTTTGCTCATACGATGAAAGTCCCTTCTCCCTTTGTGTGCTAAGGTATAATCATTGGCAAATCATTGCCCTTTGCAATGTTAGTATTATTGTTGTTGTTTGTTTCCCGGGTAACTAGACAAGGGAAGTAGCTTTTCTTAGAAGTGTTGAAATGTGTGATACGGTGGCAAAACCGACTGTTATACTGGTTATCGTTTTGTATTCGCAAATGTCGCGGTAAGCAAGAGTCGCCACCGACTTTTATTTCATCCAACAAAGGAAAAGCAAAAAGAACAGGAAAAACCTTTTTTGAGATGTTTCTTAGTACGGGGGTAGATTATAGAAAGGGAAGGTGTTAGCACCCTTTACATCCGTGGTTTTCCACGGGCTCTTAGGTACTTGCTCATTTTTGAAATTGCTTGTGTGTGCTTATTTCGAAAAGTTTTATTTTACTTCATTTTAACCCTTGTTTCTGTCCTCAAGAGTGTTACGAAGTTTTTTTTGAAAACTTTGTCTGAAAAGTGTTTGGTGTGAAAAATTTTGTTTGTTTTGAGCAAGTACCTAACAGTTATTTACCTACTCAAAAAAAGTCTGTTTGTTTTCCTTTAGACAATGTTATCCTATTATTAAGGAATAGGTAGCATTGTCGTTGGAGTTTTAAGGGACATTTGAAGGGACAAGTACGATCACAAAAGCAATGTTAGGAGGTGTTAGTAATCATCCTAAAGCCTTAAATATCTTTTTCCGAGGCAACATCTGAATGGGTCATTTGAGATCTTTCGGGGCTAGAGGACGACCACTAACAAACCCTGTACTTTTTGACCGTTTAACCGAAGGCAACCGGAGTGGAGTAAACCTTAGGAGTGAGCATGTGCGACTGATTTTTTTCCAGTTAATTTGTCTTTGCACATTTAGGGTTTTCTACCGTTTTAATTTTCAAGTATTCTTCCATACAATCCTATTAGCATACATCTAACAGTTTATAATTTGCGGGAATTAAAAGTGCGGAAAGTTTAAAGTTCTAGCTATTACATGGCTTTCGCAGGTACAAAATTATTTTTGACTGTAAAATAAAAATACGGAAGTTTAAAACCCGAATTAACTATTACAACCTCAAAACAGTTACAATAATAATAAAAGGAAATTAAATAAATGCGCGCGGCAAATTTAAATGCGAGAATTAATTAAGAAATCCTAAAATCCGATTGAAAAAATATTTTAGTTATTTTGAGGAAAGATTGAATTAAAGCCCTGATTTCTAATTAATTTA